CCCCAAAACCCCAAAACCCCAATGCTGAAAATGCTTATTTATCTCTTGTTGGGGCAGTATATCATAAATCCATTTAAATGGGCTTCAGAGTCGAATCTAAGTTGCAGATTAATGAATCACCGTCTTAGTTATACAATTAATTAGTACATTTAATAGGATCTAATATAAATCAGTAAACATAATAGGATCATTACTGATCAATCATATGTGGTTAAAAATTTGGGTTTTATACAAATTCGAATCCGGTAAATAGCCTAAATTGGATGGGCTATACAAATACTTGAAAGAGTAAAGATTAGTCCAAAGTCCGTAGATCTTCCTCTTCATCTGTGGCTTCTTCGCCTTCTCTCAAAAATCTGAACAAATAGTAACCTTCCATAAAAGAAGTAAGGTCACTACGCTCTATGCATGTTTGGTAGATATAGAAATCATCAGGTGTTTTGAATACTGGCTGCTTACCCTGAACCCCTGGACCAACTGATAATACACTTTCTTAAGAGTTGTAAAACCTCCAATGTCTTGACTAAAATATTATGTTACAATTTACAATAATTACAATCAGCTTGCATGGCTTGAATCTATCACGGCCAGTTATCTAATCAATAGTGATTCTATGTTGGTAAACGAAGGCATACGTTGGAGCATCGGGAAATAGATCCTTGTCCAACTTGCAGAACTGGTGTATTAGCCAGGCCTACGCTTATACCTAGATACCATTGGTCACCGTTACACTACCGAAAAAATCTTTCGGATCTTTTCTGAAAACTGATATTTCACCTTCATTGCACCATAGTTTATCTCCTTTTAGCACATTATAATGGAGAGTTAGATATGTCTCTGGGGAGTCAAAAACATACATAGCTTAAGTCCGGTCAACTCCCTGGACAGAGTAGATTGCGTTACACCCTCTGCCAAACTGATTCATGTTATCAATAAATGTGACCTAACGATATCTGTTGGTGTGAGTAAACGGGAACCCGAGAATGCCACATTTAGATTCTATAATATTTCTGAAGTTTAGAATGGCTGAGGGGGTTAATAGCACCTATTGCAAGTTATGTTGCGCAATTTTTATAGTCCACAGTTTAAAATTAGAGAAGAATTCTTTTTCTTCATCAGGATCATGAATCATTTGATTAGGATCTTGATCATTAAAGTTTTTGTAGATGCATTCAATTTGGAATGTTATACTTTCAATTTCTTATATAAAGAATTCAGGTGCGTAGCGATCTCTAAAATCTCTAAGGAAGCCATACTATTTCTTAGATCGTTTTGCGTTGGTCAAGTCTATTATTCCGCTAATCAATTACCTGAAATGCTTGTATCTTTGAAATGATCTTTAAAAGTACTCTCGATAGGTCTCATTTTCCAGCTTCTTATGATCTGGATACTCTAGCATTAAAAATTCAGTGGTAAATAATTATTTCCAAACGTAATCCTAGCCTTTGTCACTGAAGTAATAATTCCATTTTTAATTTAGCAGCGCCAGCGTTGGAAAAGCAGTTTAAAAATCGAAGAAGGATACTAGTTCTGTTACAAGGTACTTATTGAAAGTTTGTGAAAATAAGTCCTATTTAGCATATTTTTTTTCCATTTGTAGTACACGTAATAGTTTAAAATTAAATTTTGATTTTATATGATTTCCACTCCTTCATAATATATCATAACTCGTAAATTTTTTTAACTTCTCTACTGATATATCTATAGTTATCTCCTCACGGGGTTTTGGGGTTTTGGGGTTTTGGGGCTTATTT